TTGTGATCTCTGTCAAATAAATAAATAAAATCTTTAAAAAAAAAAAACTCAGAGAGGTGAAGTCACTTTCCCAAGGTCACACAGCTATTAAGTGGCCAAGCTGGACTGAATCTCTGGCCATCTGACTTGAGCTCCCACTGCTAAGGCCTGACAGCATCACCATGGACTACAGGTAACAGCGCTAAGTGAACTGGGTGGCGGGTGGAGACCCAGGGGAACCTGCATGCAAGATTCCTAAAGAGGGAAGTTCCCACTCAGCGGCCACCAATGGTTTCCATCAGAAAAATTCAGGTCCAGTGTTGTCGGACCTGCCAGTTTCTCCAGAGAAATCAGAAATCTGGATGTCTGTGTGATAACGCCAAGCTTTAAAGGTTGGCAATTGGTTTTAAGTTGGTTTTAAAACACAATATATAATACAGACTAAAGAAATTTCACAGCCAGATGAGTGAGCCTTGACCGGATCCTTGTTTGAAAGCCCAAGCTCTGGAAGACATTTTTTGGCATGACTGGGAACATTTTAATATGATCGGCTATCTGATCATACACAGGGTAGAAACTCCGTCCTTTCTCTTGGGTGTGCTACTGGAATTTTGGTGCGTGGGAGAATGTCCCTGTTCTTAGGGGATCCACGCTAAATTATTCAGGGATGAAATGTCATGTCTGCAACTGATTTTCGAAAGCTACAGCCAAAAAACAAAGGAAAAAGAGAGGACAAGAGGAAGAAAGAAGAGAGAAAATAAAAATATGGAGAGTACTATAAAGCGATTATGACAAAATACTAATGATTGTCCCATCTAGATTAGTAGTTCCTGACTGGGGAGTGATTCTACTCCTTGATGACATGTGGCTACGGCTATGGATATGTTTGTGTGTGTGTGTGTGTGTGTGTGTGTGTGCGCGCGCGCGCGCGTTTGACTGTCACAGCTGGGTTGTGGGGTGGGTACTACTGGCACCTAGTGGGTAGATCCCAAGGAGGCTGGCAAACACCCTTCACTGCCCAGGACAGACCCCCAACACTGAGCATGAGCCGGCCCCAAATACTGGTGGTGCTGGGGGTAAGAAACCTCACAGGTTATTCTGGAGTTCTTTCTTATTATTCTTTCAAGTTTATTTTTGTTTTTTGGTTTGTTTGTTTTTGTATGTTTAAAATGTTTCACAGTAAAAAAAAAAAAAAAAGAAACTTAAAAATAAGAATAGTAAAGTAGAAATAAAGTGCAGATCAAACAAAATTTGTCTGTGGGGTTTGGTAACCATAACTGGCCACCTTTTGCAGTCCCTGCTTCCAATAAATAGTGGCTGGATGTCACGCTGCTGTCGCTGGTGAATGAGTGTCTGTGGAGTTCTTACACCAGCGTGAGCAAGACCCCCACAGCTCCTGGAATTACTGACTTTCTCCTGCTTTCAAGCCCATTCAGCCCAGAAGGAGGCAGGTCACATGCCCAGGACTCTGAGCCTGAAAACTGACATCACCGAGGCCTCTTCTGGGATCACACAAGCACAAGGGGTCACGAGAACAGTTGGTGACATGGGGACAGCCAGGTGCTGTAAGTCTTTGAAGGGTCAGACAAAAGGAAAAAAAAAAACCCTCATCCCACTAACCCTCACGGCCCAAGACAAAATAAATTAAGGGGCTGCAGAAAAGACGTTGGATTCACCTGGAAGCCACCTCAGAACCTCTCTGAGGCCAAGTTCAGGGGTGCTGGCCCCACCTAATTCACCCCTCAGCCATTACAGGAAACAGCTAATGAGCTCCAGCTGGGGCCTAGACTCCAAACGTTTCAAGGCATCCACTGAGTAAGACGCATCTGGAGGGTCCTGGGGGGGGGGGGGGGCAGCCCCCACACCACAACTACACAGAAAGCCCTATACATGCAGACAACACACAACAGTACGCAAATCAGAGTCAGAGTGGATTAATTCCTCCCTCCTCAACTATGTGCGATAGTCCCAAACTCAAGAACAGTGTTTTTGAAGGCGGAGGGCACTTTTTATGAACCATTCAGGGAGGCTGTTCAATGCGGATCTCTAGGGCTCATCCCAGACCTACACTGATCAGCAATCCCTCCTGGACAGAACAGAATACGCATTTTGCATTTTTAGGAAGCGTCCCCCCTCCCCCGCCCCGAATGCCCAGGGAAACTGAAAACACAGCTGAAACCAGGGGGCTCGGGATTAAGGTTTCCCCGTGTGACCTTGGGCCAGCCACCCAAACTGGATATTCTCACCTATAAATGTGAATTAACAGCACCCTGTCTCACAGCTGTGAGCACTGAGATTTACACACACACACACACACACACACACATATGCACTCACGCACGCACGTACATTCACAGGTACACGTGTGCGTGCACGTGCACGCACACACCCTAGTACGGTGCCTGGCAAACGTTAGTTCCTTTTCCTTACTAGTGATCGGCCCCGCGCTGGAAAGCCTAGACAGCTTCACAGAAGTACACAGGCTTCGCGCAGCCCTGAAGATTCTGATCTAAATTGTCGAGGGTGGGGCCCCTAGCAACAGGATTTTTAAAAAAGCATTCCAGGTGGATCCGAAGCCAGGGTTGAAAATTATACCCTGGAAACTGCCAATAAAAATCAGCTATTCCTGGGGGCACCTGGGTGGCTCCGGAGGCGGAGCTTCCAACTCTTAATCTCAGCTCAGGTGTTGATCTCAGGGTGGAGAGTTCAAGCCCCGGGATGGGCCCCACCACCGCGGGGGGGGGGGGGGGGGGGGGGGGGGGTGGGGGGGGGGGGGCTAACCCCCCGGGGGGGCCGCCCCCGGGGGGGGGGGGGGGGGGGGGGGTGGAGGAGTGTTGGACGGAGGGAATCAATTGTTCTTTCTCTCTTAGAGAATGCACTTCCAGTGCATTCTGGAATTCCCAAAATGTGTACAGAGGAGAAGCCAAGTGGAGGCTGGTACTAGAGGGCTGGGTGCCCCCGGATTCCGCCCCCAAGCAGCCCTTTCCCGGTACCTGCAGAAGAAAGTAGCTGCAACCAGCTAGGCTGGGTGATTCTTTTTCTCCTGACAGAGCTGCAAGGGGGCAGGACAGGGAGCTGAGTCCCTGATGGGCCCTCAGGTCTGCCTTGGAGCGCGGTCTCCACAGAAATATCCAGATCAAAGAGGGCCTGAAGCTAGCATCACCTTCTCCCCCAGACGTCCAAAGGGAGCCGCCCACCCTTAGCCAGGCTCCCACCTTCTCACCTCCCTTCTCCCACCCTTCCTACCCTCCCCCACCCCCCACCCAAACACCCAGGAGGGCTCCTTTAGGCGCTGGTTTGCAAGGAAAAGGCTCAGTGGATATTTCGGCAGAAGAATTAACCCGAATCTGCAAGGCAGCCTACCTATCCCTGGGTGACTCTCTCCCTACCAAGGCGACACCCGCCGCCTGCCGCAGTCCTCCTGCCTCGGCGCTCCTCCCTCACCTTAACACAGACCCCTGGAAGCTATAGGGATTGGCGGGGACTGCGGGGACGTGAAGCACCGGCCGCTGGGGCTGGTGACGGGGCATCTTCGGAGTTGCAGGAGGTGGGCGGGGCCAGCGTGTTACTCTTACTTGGTCAGTGTTTCTAGATACCCTTAGAGCTGAGTTTGTGCCTCAAGACCCCGACATCCATCCACGCCTCTCTGCTGACCCAAACCAAGCCCAACTTCTTCACCTCTTCCCCCAAATCCCTCCTCACTGGGGGGGGGGGGGGGGAAAGTCATCGGATACTCCGCGTATAAATAGAAAATAATTACTGGTGAGGTGGTAATGTTCCTTCGCCTATTTTTGGTGGGTCTCTTTGTTCAGATTTTTTAGGCAGGCGCACGGATTGCGTGCAGCCACACGCGCACACAAGGGCCCCCGCCGGAGGTGTGGGGAGGGTGTGTGTCTGCGTGTAGTGGGGCGACACACGGCGACCCCGTTGCCCACAGTCGGAAAGAAGACCGAGCTTGCGCCCAACCATCCAGCGGCTCTAAGACTGCCTGCCGCTCTTCGACCCCGCCCGCCCAGACCTCACGCCAACCCCGGCCTCTGTCGGGTCTGGGGGCTGCGTCCTCGTGCCTGTGTCCTCCGCCTCCAAAGTTACTGGGTTGTGCGAATCAATTCAGACACTTTTAAAAAAAGCAAAAGGCAAATAGCTCCATTAATCCCCAAATGCCTTCTCCCATCTGCTGCGACTTGCTCGCGCTGGGACTTGCATAATGAATAAGGCAACCGGGAAAGTTGACGAATCAGGGTGCTGGGGGGCGGCGGGGGGTGGGGGAGGTGAGCAGGGCTCCCGCCCTTGGAGTTCACGCCAACCCCGCCAAGGGGCTCAGCGCGCAGCTGAGGCCACGGCCCCCAGCAGGGAGAGGTGGTGACCGGGGGGAAAGGGGCGAGGGTTTGGGGAGGAGGGAGGCAACCGAGGTCCCAATTCCAGGGACCTGGCAGCTCCGGGAGAGCGAGGCGGCCGCTCCAGGCAAGGCTTTTGTTCTCGCCCTCCCCTCTCTTTCCACCTCCCTCGCCTCTTTTTCTCGAGCCGTACGAGTTGCAGGCGGCACACACTCCTTCCCTCCCTTCCTCCCTCCCTCCCTCACACACGCGCGCGCGGGCTCACACACGCCCCCCTTCCCTTTCGGGCTCGCCTGCCCTGTTTACCTAGAGGCTAGGATGTGGAATCCTAGCCGAGGACCCCTCCCCAAAACCCAAGACTTGGGGGCCGCGGGCTCCCGGGCTGTGTGTCTCCGGTCCGCTTCAATCCTAGGCGGGAGGGGGCGGCGTGAGGGTGGAGGGGGCAGATACCCCCGACACACACACACATACACACGCTCAAATCCACACCTGTGCGGAGCCCAGCGCCCCCTCTCCGCGCTCCCAGACGAAGTTGGCTTTCCCGGGCGACCTCTCCCGGGCGACCTCCCCCAGGCGAGACGCGGTTGGGGGCGGGGGGGGAGCGCCATTGCCCGGGGAAAGGTGGAGAGGGAAGAGCGGGGAGAGCGGCGCCCGGAGGGGAGGCGGAGGGGGGAGGCAGCCCACCTGGACATGTGCTCCCTTTGGGGCCGGTGCGCTTTCTCCAGCCCCAGCTTGGTGAAGATGCCTACGAGCACCATGACGGCCACCACCCCGCAGATGATGTAAACGATCAGGTTGGTCTTGTCCTTGGTGGGGTCGTGCAGGGGGTCGTCCTTGCGCGCGGGGGGCTTGCCGGTGTTGAGCCAGAGCGGAGTGTCGTAGTTGGTGCAGGTGCTCTGGTTTAATCGCCGCTTCTTAAACGTGCAGCAGAACCGGAAGCCACAAGTCCCGCAGCAGAAGATGAAGTCGCCCGAGCTGCAGTTGAACGGCGGGTCCCACTGGCCCATGACATCGAAGTAGCCCCTGCAGAAGTCCGGCGTGGGCGCCCGGGTAGGGGGCGCGTCCGAGACCCCCGCGCCCTCACCGGCCTCTCCGGAGGCGCCCCCGGAGCGGTTGCCCCCCGCCAGCACTACCACGCCGCCCAGCTGCGCCAGCTGCCCGTGCCCCGCTCGCTCCTGCGCCCGGCACACGCGGGCGCACAGCTCGGTGAGGAAGCAGCCGAGGAGCAGCCGGAGGACGCGGCGCATCGTGTCTCCCAGCCCGGGCTCGGCCGCTCGGCCGCCGCTGGAGCCGCTGCAGCCGCCTCTCGAGGCGCGGCCGAAGCTGCCGAGGCTGCTGCCGGGGGCTGCGAGCCGCCGCGGGCCGCACATGCAGGGAGCGGCGCGGGGCGCTCGGTGGTCGGCGGCCACTGCGCGCGGCTCAGCCCGCGTTCGCCTCCAGCGCGCCGCGCGCCGAGGGGCCGGCCGGGGAGGAGCGCGCCTGGCCGGGCGGGGGGGAGGATGAGCGGGGGCAAGCGCTGGGTGCAGGTCCGGCCCGCTACGGGGAGAAGCGGGGGCCGGAGAGCAGGGGAGAGTCGGTCTGTCCGCGCTTCTCCTCCGCCGGCGGCTTCGGACCAGCCGCCCCGCGCCCGCTCGCAGGATCCCTCTCACCTCCCCAGCTCGCCAAGTGCGCTGGAGAGAGCGAAGCAACACTTGTGGAATGAAGGGAGGGCAGGAGGGAAGGGGGAGGGGGAGGAGGGCGGGCAGAGGAGGGAAGGGGGGGGTGGAACGGGCGCGAGCTCGAGAGGGGCGGGGGCGCGGAAGAGGTGACTCGGGCGGGCGGGTGCGAGTTGGGGGGCGTGCAGAGCTGAGCTAGGCTGGCGGGCGGGGAGGAGGGAGCTTCTTCGGCAGCCGCCGGGGCTGGAGGCACCGCTCGGGTTTCCCGGCAGGTGGAGGACCGCTGCGGGACCTCCCGCGCCCTCTCCGGGCGGGAGGCGCGGCTCAGACCTGTTCTGGGCGCAGAGGCGGCTCCGCCCGTGGCTTTTTCAGGCGTGCGTGCGCAGGAGCTGCGGCTCGAATCTGCCCTCCAGGGAAGGGGTGACTCGGAGGGGATAAGGACAGACTAAGTGGCTTCCACTCCAAGGCAGACGGGGGCACAGGCTGATCAGGCTCGCCCTTTCCAGGTGCACCGGGCTACCTCACCCTTCCCCCGACTGCGCCCTCCAAGCCAGGCGTGCCTCCCGGATGGTTCAACTCCCTGGGACAAGCCGAGGGCCAAAGCTGAGCTGGGAAGGCGGGGTGGCAAGCCACTGGGCCCGGGGTAAGCACCCCCGGGAGGGGGCCCCGGGACGGACTATAGTCAAGGAAGCTCGGGGGGGTAGGGGGGAGGCAGCAGATAAGGCCGAGGCAGTGGCACGTCCCGCGTCCCGGATGCCTTTCCTTGGGACTCTCCCAGGTCCCTGGACCTGCCACTTTCTGTCCCTCTACGACCTCGCAGCGTTCCCTGCGTTCCACAGGAGGGCACACCGCGGCGCCGCCTCTGCGCGCCCAGATCTGGTGCAGCGCAAGGCCTGGGCACCCGGCCTCAGCCACCCTCGGGTAGCTGGACCCCGCACGTGGGTCTCCGGAGCCGACTGACCCCTGTGCTCACCGAGCCCCCCAGACATCCTCACCCGTGCTGCAGCGTCCGGCCTCGCGCCCTCAGCGTCCAGCCTCCGGTTGCCTGTCAGGAATTTCCAAATCTGCCTTCTCCACTCAGCCGTTTCCAATCATGCTCCGTCCCTCTCCCCTTTCTCCCACTTCTTCTTCCCTCTGCTTGAATTTGACTCCAGTAGCCCCCAAAACGGGATTTGCACCAAAGCTGCTACACCGAATTTAGATCTCCACACGCCCCTGCGTTTTGTTTTTAATTGCATTAACTAAGTATACACTTTGCAGTCGGCTAGGCGATTTGCAGGGAAAGGATGTCTCCATCACCCTCCCCTCCGTTAGGCTTCAGTCAGGGGCTTCTCGGGGCATTTTCAAAGCCCCCCAAAAGTTGGGCCACAAATAAAATGACACACTGTGTCCCCTTCATTGAAAAAGCATGGGGGCTGGGTGTTGGACTCTACCGCAAGTTTTCTCAGAAAACTCAGGGTGCCTTCTCTTTGAACAATGTCACCTAGTGTCTTCCCCAAGACTCGGAAACAATGTTTGCTCCTGTTGTTTCCTGTTCCAGCAAAAACCCCAGGCCAGCCCTGATGGAGCATATCCGGAGTGTACCAGCCCCAGAAGGTTCGATGAATTACGGGCTGTGTTTTGTCCCAAACCCACCTGGACGAGGTATGAGATTGTTTAGTCTAAATTCATCAGCTCCACCGTAATGGGATCCCAGAATAGGAGAGTGTGGCGCGTCTGTCGACCCACACCCACCACCACTGTGTGAGTCTCTACAAACACAAGCATTGGTGTGTGAGAGCTAATGATAGCTGACATTTATTCAGTGCTGCGACAAGCCCACTAAGCTTGTCTTTTCTAAAATCACCTCCTCACAGATGCTTAGAACAGTGCCTAGCTTCTAGCAGACAATCTGGGAATGTTCGCTAAAACATTTGAGGAACTGATCTCATTTAACTCTATCTGCTAGGTAATATAACCGGGCCCACACAACAGAGGGAGAGACTGAGGCCCAAAGCAATTAAGTAGGTTCCCCCACAGAAGTCCCTTGGTTGGCTTTTGACCTGAGAAATTTGACTCCTGGGCCTGTGTTCCAACCGCAGCAGGTAGTGCCTCCGTAAAACAGGCCTCCAGACTCCCTATGCACCTGACGCTGTAAGTTTGGTTTCTGTCTGTCCCCCACACTGAAATGATAAAGTCCAGGGCAGAAAGGGGCTTTGACTTCTACAGTCTCCCAGCACCTACAGCAATGCTGGACGTGAAAAGCACTCAAAAATATATTTACAGGGGCGCCTGGGTGGCTCAGTGGGTTAAAGCCTCTGCCTTCAGCTCAGGTCATGATCCCGGGGTCCTGGGATCGAGCCCCGCATCGGGCTCTCTGCTCCGCTGGGAGCCTGCTTCCTCCTCTCTCTCTCTCTCTGCCTGCCTCTGCCTACTTGTGATCTCTGTCAAGTAAATAAATAAAATCTTTTTAAAAAATTAAAAAATATATATATATATATATTTACAGTCTGCTTTGATTAACGTGTTAAGATCTTCGATGCAAGACCCTTGGTGTTAAACCAAGAGAGGAAAGGGACAGACGATGGAATTTCTGCTGTGGGGACCGTGCAGAGGGTTTGGGATATTTCTACACAATAAATCGGGGAGGGCTCCTCCAGCAGGCTTGCCAAGGTCTAGGAAGCTAGACACACTGTGTCTCAGAGGTTAAAGGCTTTGTCCAAGGTCAAGTGGCCAGCAAATGAGAAAGCAGGGGCTAGATGCAGGTTCCAAGGTCAAGTGGCCAGCAAATGGGAAAGCAGGAGCTAGATGCAGACCGCTGGATTCCTAATCGCTGGTTTCCTGCCTTCCCATCCCACCGCACCCCACCGAGGCACCTGCCAGCCAGCATTAGGGCTGGGAGCTTAGGGCAAAAGCCTGATAGAAGAATGGGTCACAGACACCTTCCCCCAAAAGCTGGGGGTTTTCAGACACTTCTAAATTTGATTTGAAAAAAGAAAAAAAAAAAGAAAACCTTAGCGAAAAGAGACAAAATCTAGACAGAAAAGTCCATTTCAGAATCTGCCTCCAATCTCTTTAAAATATTGCCTGTCACCAGGACATTTGAGTCCGGTCCTCAGAGGAGACTCACTCTGGCTCCTGTTCCCGGCTTTAATTAACAGAGACTGCCCCCTGTTTGTGACAAGGAGAGTGCAGGGATCCTGCTTGGGAAAGCAGCAGACCTGATCTACCCCTTGTGGCTTATTTGCCAGATACCAAACCTTGGGTCCACTATCCTCCCAGCCCCTACCCTGCCGTGAGCTTCACCCAGACCAAATTCCCTTATTGCTCCCACCTGCCAAGGTGGTTACAATATGGAATATTCTCCACACCTGTTTCCCAAGCCTTTGAAAAACATTTACAAGGGGGAACCATCTAGGTTCATTTTACTCTGTAAAGGTAGACAGTCCCCCCCCCCCTTTTTTAAAGATTTTATTTATTTGAAAGAGAAAGAGCATGAGCAAGGGGAGGGGAAGAGGGAGAGGCAGACTCCCCACTGAGCAGGGACCCCAAGATCATGACCTGAGCTGAAGGCAGACATTTAACCGACTGAGCCACCCAGGTGCCCTGGAAGAAAGTCCCTTTCCTCTGGGTATGTCAACTCAATCAACAGAGTCACTACTTGCTAATAGATGTGTGATTATTCAGAACATGCCCTCTTTCAGAACACGTGATTGAGAAAGTATGTCTTTCAGGGTTCCTGGGGGAGGGAGAGTTTATAAACTTCCTAATTGAAACACCTGGCAAGTTCATGAAAGATGAAAAATCATCAAATACCACCCCCCACCACTAGCCAGATAAATTCATGCAAATGTGTTGAAATTAAAAGGCAGCTCTTAATGAAAGTACTTTCTATGAAAGAGATGATGATATTATTATTTACAACACAGGCACTTTTAATATCTAAAGAAGAATCTCATTCGCTCTAGGCTTAATTATGTCAGCCTCCAGTACAGCTTGCAACAAGACCAGAACCATACTCCCCAGCAATTAGGGGAGGGAACCACTGTGCACGGAATGTTGACTTACCCGGAGTGCAACCGGGGTCCATAACCAACTCAGCAAATTAGATTATGTACCCCATGGTCCTTGCTGGAAGGAGTTGTTTGTTAGTAAGTCCTCATCAGATAGCTTTTTGGATTTCAAAAAGGTTTCTTAGCAACTGTTAGCCTTGAGGGGGAAAAAAAAAAAGAGCGAGCGAGAGTGATGACACATGAGCTGTTGGTTTGAAACTTGAGGAGCTAACTGAGTGAAAATTGAAACTGGACCCCCGCCCTCCCCAGACAGAGACCAAGGAGAGACCAAACAAAGGAGGCAGGCCTCTCCAGAAAGGTAGGTGGCAGGGGTAATAGGCAAGGGAACTTACAAGGCTTGTCCTGGGCCCCGGAAGACAAGTGGATCTCTGCACCTGCCTGCAGGAATCTTACAAGTTTCTATTAATGAGGCTTCGGTGGGGGTCAGGAGAATATGGTCCAGATGGTCTTAACAGTACTGTACCCTCTCAAGGCTGCATCTTGAAATCGACTCCTAGTGGCAGAACAGTGGGTGAAATATACATGCGAAAGATGGGAATGAGGGGGAGCCTCTGATTGCAGGGGTGCAGCCCGGGAGTCAGCCAGAGGTCACATCCCCTCAATGACTTCCTCCAACAGAAGCCAAAATGCGGCTGGCCCCTGGCCATCTCAAGCAACACGCTGACTTGATATATTTTATTCTCTTATTTTGAAAAGATAAAAGATCTTTTATGGAAGAAGTGAAGTGGGTCTGAAGTATTCCCCAGAGGACAAGAGGTATGTGAGATGATTTTTGGTTTTACCGCCAAGAGTTTTTTTAATAGTTTTATATTTATGTCAATGTGTAGCAGAAAAAAAATGGCATATCCAACATATGGCTTCATGGGCATAAATATTCAAGGTGTACATCAATGTAAGAAAAATAATAAATACGTTGTAGTATTTATTAATGAACGTTAAGTAAAGAAAATGTGAAGTGCCTGGTTTTTAGGAGACGT